AATGCCAAGTTATTGTGGAGGAAAAATTGCCAACTCATTAATCCATTTGTCACATAATCATTTTTAATACCATTAACCCATGTCAGCACCGTTAATTAACAAAAGGATTAAAATATGGACGGTTTTAAACTACAAGGAACTATATCTTAAAATATAAGCTTTGGAGACCTTGACCAAATTTGACTAAAACTACAAGGTTTAGGATTTATTTTTGAGAAAATTATACGGAAGTCTCACAAAAGCTATTTTATTATTAAAAAATCTTTTAAAGTTTACAAAATACTTTTAAATTTTAAATCCTACACATTTATAACTTGATAAAAGGCATTTACAACTGATAAATGCTATTTCACAAATTATAAATGTGCAAGATTTGAGATTTAAAAATATTTTATCAATTTTATAAAAATTTTAGTAATAAAAATCTTTTTTATGAGACTTATGTGTAATTTTTTTTATTTTTTTCAAAAATTTATAAATATGTTCAACATTTAATATGAACATTGCAATTTAATGTTGTAATTTTTATAAATTAATTATTCAGATATACCCTAATTAGTAGATATATAATTTAAATGATTTAATTTACTAATAATAAATTGACTATTTAGGTACACTTAGTGTAGATTTAATATTAATATTTTTTTAAATTTTTATTTCAGTAAATACAAACTTGAAAATATCTAAAAATAATTTAAAATGAACCGAATAGATTAATTCGAATCAAAATGAAAGGCCCAGATTAATTTTCCCCGTGATGAGCGCTCGGTGCCAAATGCGGAGTCCTAGTAGATTGTAGGTGTAGATATTTAAGTGCAAACTAGGGTTTTGCACTGCTTCTCTCTGGGTCACCTCTTCGCCGCAGAAGCGCAACCTTAGGTACTCCCTCCTTCGTTTGTCCTGCAACAATGTTATCAAGTGTTTCGTTGTGCTTAGAATCCACTATTTTTATCAGTGACTTCCTGATCATGCATTGGATCTGCGTACATTATTCTGGTTAATGAGGATTTCATTTCTTAAATTTCTTCAATGCCGTTTTTAGATATCCTTTTCTTTCATATTTTCGGCTATCATTGTGCTTTTTATGTACCTTTGATTTTAATTTGACATCAGTTGTTGTATTATCGCGTTTTAAATCTGATTGCGAGACCCAGATTAGTGAAGCTCTGCATTCACAATGGTCTAAGTTTTCATGATTGTATTTTCTCATTTGGATGAATGGGTAATCTTCAAAATATGATAGGAGAAGGATGTCGCACAGGAAGTTTGAACACCCCAGGCATGGTTCTCTGGGATTTCTCCCCAGGAAACGGGCTGCTCGTCACAGAGGAAAAGGTATCATTTTATTGTATCATCATTTCTATACTGTGATAGCCTTATAATGCTGTTTGCCTTTGGTTGATATTATTCTCACGGTAATGAAGACTAGCAGTGCTATCATAGAATTGGGTTGACTGTTCTGAGTTTCCGATCAGTCAAGTAGCTGTTCTCTCAATTGATCTCTTGATTTTGATGGGTTGATTTTACTGTTGCAGTGAAGGCGTTCCCCAAGGATGACCCGAGCAAGCCACCCAAGCTTACTGCCTTCTTGGGTTACAAGGCAGGCATGACTCACATTGTAAGAGAGGTGGAGAAACCAGGGTCAAGTGAGTCACTTTTTTGTTATTTTACTTATTTTTTTTTCAATCGATACACTTCTTCATTAGTAGTTTTCGATTGACACTTGAGTTGTTGGCAAGGATCTAGTTATGCACTTTGGTGTTTCCATGATGATAATCTGAATCACGGAATTTTCTAGTGATCAAATTGTTCTATGGCTCTTTATTGTTCTTGTCCCAGAATTATATACACAGGAAGGTTTTATCCATCATTGTAATTTGTAAGTTGACAAAGTTTTAATTATGCTTTTATTGTTCAAAAATAGTGAAGATTTGTTTTTCATCTTATTCAAGCGGAGGTTGATTCTTGAGGATACTAGTGTTTGGAAATATGCTTAAAAATGTGGTACCTATTTCCTTTGTTCTCTGCCCTTAACTGAAATTGATGCCCACGGGTTTGCGAAGTGTTTAGATGGACTTAAAAGTGCACTATCTGTTTTCAGCCAACTTTAGTTTTGATTTTCATGAGGAGTTTCTGCTTTTGCTTATTTGATGTAAATATGCTTCTTTTTTTATTATTTAAATTCTGTTGCCTTCTCTTTATTACCAGCAATAGTTATTATCATTTAGCAGCCTGGTTTTCTAATATGATATTTTTTTTCTTTGTATCAGAACTTCACAAGAAGGAAACCTGTGAACCAGTTACAATTATTGAGACACCTCCAATGGTAATTGTTGGAGTTGTGGGTTATGTGAAAACTCCTCGTGGTCTTCGAACATTGGGTACTGTATGGGCTCAGCATTTGAGTGAGGATGTGAAGAGAAGGTTCTATAAGAACTGGTGCAAGTCCAAGAAGAAGGCTTTCACAAAGTACTCCAAGCAATACGAATCTGAAGAAGGGAAGAAAAGCATTCAGAGTCAGCTTGAGAAAATTAAGAAGTATGCATCAGTTGTTCGCGTTTTAGCTCACACCCAGGTAAAACTTGCTTGCCTTACTTTGCAAATTGAACATATTATGTAGTTGCAAATTCTTGATTCCACTTTAGACTACTGCTTATCTTCTCATGTTGCCATTTAAGGGTTCAAATCTAATATGCTACTTTACTGGTGGCTTGCTTTCTTTTACAGATAAGGAAAATGAAAGGGTTGAAGCAGAAGAAAGCTCACCTCATGGAGATTCAGGTCAATGGTGGTACTATTGCACAGAAGGTGGACTATGCATACAATTTCTTTGAGAAGCAGGTTCCTGTTGATGCTGTATTCCAGAAGGATGAGATGATCGATCTCATTGGTGTAACAAAGGGTAAAGGGTATGAAGGTGTTGTCACTCGGTGGGGTGTGACACGCCTTCCCCGCAAGACTCACAGGGGTCTGAGGAAAGTTGCATGTATTGGTGCCTGGCATCCTGCCAGAGTTTCCTTCACGGTTGCCAGAGCTGGTCAGAATGGATACCACCACCGTACTGAGATGAACAAGAAGGTTTACAAGCTCGGCAAAGCCGGAGATGAGTCACACACAGCTGTTACTGATTTTGACAGGTGATTTGCTTGATTAACCTTGATATGACTAAGATGTAATGGACATACTTGTGCTTTTAGGGTGAATTGAGAAGTGAATGCCAACATTAACGAAAAGCTTGTGTTTAATCACAATAAATGGGATGTGGAGCAAACTAATCTGACTTAATTTGACTTTTAGGACTGAGAAGGACATAACTCCAATGGGTGGCTTCCCTCACTACGGTATTGTGAAGGATGATTATGTGATGATCAAGGGATGCTGTGTTGGTCCCAAGAAGAGGGTTATCACGTTGCGTCAATCCCTCCTGAAGCAGACTTCTCGCCTTGCTCTGGAGGAGATCAAGCTCAAGTTTATCGACACATCTTCCAAGTTTGGCCACGGCCGCTTCCAGACAACGCAAGAGAAGCAAAAGTTCTTTGGACGTCTCAAGGCGTAATTATGCAAATTGCAAGAAATTTTGCTGCAGCGTTACATGAAAATTACATGAAGTTGGAATCTAGTGTTGTTGAGAATCTTTGTGGTTCAATTTAGTTTTACATACAGATTGTTCATGAATTTTGCTCATGTACTTCAAATTTTTCTTGTGGTTTCAAATGGAAGTTACCCAGGTTTTCTTATTTATGTGACTTCAATTTTGAACTTGCAGACAATTCTGATAACTGAGAGCCAAAACCCTCGAGTTTGACTAGGAACGTGGTTCCCTGGAGTAAAGCAGCATCTTTTTAGCAGTTGGTTTGATGTCCAGTTTTAAACTTAGTTTCATGATGATTAGTTTTCCAATTTATTTTGTTTCGTTTTAAAAGATCTTTGGTCATATTTAAAGAATTATCATCATAGATGGATTATTCCCTAGCGGATTTGAAAATATTAAAAAAAAAATATTCCTATCAGACATGCTTATGATTCCAAGCAGGACAGTTTTAATGTATTTAGTTTTATGTATTTAATATATTTTTATTCAATCAAATCAAAATGTGTTTTAATGTGATAATATTAGTAAAGGAGAATTTTATATATAATGAATAACTTACAAAAAATTTTAATTAAAAACAAGCATATATAGAATTAAATGAACAAAATGAAACAATTGGATTATGTTAAAGGTTTCAAGAGAAGCCTAAACTTTCAACATGCTTGAGAATCAAAATAACTAAGCTTATTGAGGATGAGCTTGGATCCATAGCACCCTCGTGCTTGAAATATGGTTCATTCAAAATCATGTTTGTTGGTTAAATAAAATTATAAATGGGATTGGGAAGAGACTTGTAGGAGTGAAATAGTTGAAATTGTCGAGACTGAAGACTGTTAACACGAGAAACAAAGGAAAAAGGTACAAACGATACGCATCAGAGTTGGGAAGTTGGCTGATCTAATTCTAATTGGCTGAGCTCCTTCTCATTCTATTTGTAAAATACTTTTAATATACTTTATCATAATTAAAAAAATTTTAAAATTCATTAATTTTGTCTAGAAATTCAATTATATCTCAACTTTATTTCTATTAAGCATACATATTTTAATAACATCCTCCATTTTTATTTATAGAAAAAACTATTACTTTTGATCTTTTTTTTTATATAAATAAAATTATATTTTTTAATAAGCATTTATTATAAATTTTTTAAATTATCCCTCATAATTTAATGAAGAAATAATTAATAAAGATTTAATTAATATAATTAATAAAGAATATTGTAATCCAATTTTTTTATTTTAAAAAAGAATTAATATAATTAACTGATTTTTTTTAAATTGTGTGATATATATTTTTTTTTCAAGGGGGTATTTTATTTAACATCTCACACACACAAACCCGTGATCGAAAAGAAAGTTCATGGTCATAAAAAGGAAAAACGAAAATTTATATCAGTGGTAAAGAACGTGGGCATCAGTTCTCCAAAGTGATAAAACATCAATGAAAATTTCAAACGCAAATTACCCATTTAAAAGGATAGATTCATCATACGCCCACAGAGAAATTGAAAACAACAACGTTCAGACCTAATGCTCAATTAGACCGAAGGTCTAAAACTAAAATACAGTAAAATAGGGGGATTGAGATGAGATGATTGTGCGTGTTTTTCTCAGGTGACCAACTTTGAACGTGGAGAAAATACGAGATGAGATATGGCTGTCGCTGCTACCTCCTCTCTCAATGCTTTAGAAAAGAAGCACTAGTGGCTCACCACCCCTAAGGTAAGACCTTGCAGTCCAGCCCAAATTACCAATCTGGGCAAGTCGCATGCAAGCTCATTCGAACTGTCTCCGAGCAGTGGCTGATCGCGCCGGCTTCCACTCTAACCGTCCTATTTCAGAGTTGCGATCATTTTCACCAATCTGTCGTTGCCATTGCAGGTACAAGTGCTGCTGGAGTTGTCGCCGACTAAGGAAGAAGAGAGGCTCAAGGACGTCGGTGTAGCCATGCAAGTCCAACTTACCTTTGCGGCTTTCATCGAGGAACCCAGAGAGCTTCCAATAGGAGCAGGAGAAAATCAAGACGAAAAGACAGAGAATGCTATGACGAGTACGACAAAACCGACTCCGGTAACCCTCCGCCCGGAGCCACATGTAATTGAGGGAGCGTATGCCTCCCTCACTTGAAAAAAATAACATATTTGTGAGCATAAAGTTTTATATTTTATAATTTATATTTTTTATTTATTATATTTTACACTCTTTTATTTTTATATTTTAAATTTTAAACTCATTTTCATCTTATTTTTTTAACTTATATTTATTCAAATTTTTAACTTAACCTCATAAATATTGGTTCACAATTTCATTATATCTAAATACTAATATTATTTATTAATTATTTAAAAAAATTTAATATAATTAAATAGACTTACTTCTTGCTTTGAATATTACTTACGGACTAGTTAAAAAAAACCTAATAAAAATTCAAAACTCAACAGTAAATTGAGTAAATATTTTTCGTTAACTCACTGTAATTTACAATTGAAAGCTAGATGAGAAATAAAAAAAATAATTAATTTAAAAGAGATAAAGATATTTTTTTATTAAAAATTTTAATTTTATCATTGTCTACCCTTAATTTAAAATCCTGACTCCACCACTGTCTTTGCGGTCCATCCCAGCAACTCCATCGCCCAACAGATAAAAGCGTCAAATACTCAAGCTTTGACCATCACGCAGGAGAGGGAGAAGGAAAGAAAGATTTTTTTTTTGGGGAAAATCCAGGTATCTGCCACGTGTCAAATAATGGTTAACTCATGATTAATATTGACGGTAGGGTAGTATTATACTTTTTTTTTTAATTCTGAGATAAAATTACTCCAACAATAAATTTAAAATATGAAGTGCCTCTCCAGAAAAAAGTTTCAGGATATTTTTATTTTTTAATCCTTTATTATATATATTTTTATAAATTTGTTAAAATTTTTTTTTCAAGTTTAGTTATTTGTAAATTGTTAGTAAAAACAGTTTACAATTAGCTAAATATTATTTATAATCATTTAAGATAATTTTTTATTTTATAATCAAGTATTTTAAATATAATATATTGATTTTTTATAGCTAAATATGTTAATTAATTTTTTAAAAAATATTCTTTTGTACTCAAGAGATTTTTTCATTACAAATAATAGTTAATAGTTAAAAATTATTGGTGAACATAAATATATATTGGTGACTATAAAGAATATCTCATTAAAAAATTTTAAACTTAATCTGAACATAAACCAAACTGCTCAAAAACTACACCAAACCAGTTAGAAAAAAAACAGAATAGATTCTAAACTATAGTGAACTGATTGGTTTGGTTTGGTCTAATTTTTTTTCAAAACCAAACTAAACCAAACCTTTGAACACCCTTAGATCTCAGTCAATGTCAACAATCCTATCCTGATCAACTCTGATGGTCAATCCTTGGTTTACATTATTTTTATTCTTTTTATTCTTTGTTTTTGACACTTGTTTTAAGTATTTTGAGCATCATTAGAATTTATTGAATTTAATTTGTAATAATGAAAAATTTTGGGATAAGGATAACTAATGATAATTTTTGAAAAATTAATTCGGCACATGAAATTAATTTGGGCAGTACAAAATGAGGCATTTGGATCAGATATCTTATTGCAAGACACAGATAGAAAATAAAGAGAAGCCCAGGGACAAGCTTGTTAATTTTTAATTTCTCATCTTATTTTTTTCTTATTTTTATTTCTTACTTACATTACCATACATCATACGTACATACAATTTAGTTTTATTTTGATGTCTTAATTTTCTCCTTTATAAGTTTTATTTTTTTCAAGATTTAAATAAATTTTATAAATATTTTATCATACTAACATATATCTTTAGACGCACATAGGGCATTTGCATACTATAACACAGATTTTGTCACTTTTTAACTTCACCAAGCGTGTCCTTAGTTTTTTTTAGTCTCACTGTGCAATTTTCGAAAATGAGGATTCACTTTTGCTTTTATTTTTTTTATTTTCCCTTTTCTTTTTCAAGGATTTGCATGATGAGCACCACTTGCTCACATGGCCCTTCGTTTTAGTTCAAATGATCCCTATTTTTTATTTAAATTAATTTTTAAAATTTTAAATTTTATTTATTAATATAAAAAATTTTAAAATTTTAATAAATCAGTTCATTATCAATCTAGTCAGTACAGATTTAATCTGACAATCCAATTTAATATTAATTTTTTTTATAATTTTATAGTTTGACTATTCAAATACACTTTGGATAGTGCAAATATAATCAAGATGACTTAATTTAATATTAAAAAATTTATAAAATTTACAAATTAACTATTTACATGTACCCTAAATAGTCCATATTTAATATTAAATTTTTTAAAAAATTAATCTTTTAGTCCTTCAACTTGTAACTTACTTGTAACTCAGTCCCTCAATTATGACTCGCTGTGACTCAGTCTCTCAACTATAACTCGCTGCAACTCAATCCCTCAACTTTTGATTTACCTATAACTCAGTCCTTATTTTTAATTTTTTTTAAATTTTTTTATCAAATAAGAGGGATAAAAAATGCTCATATATTATTTTAAAATATCCTCTTCTTATTCATTAATGTGATATATAAGTTAACATGAAAAAAAAATTAACAAAGGTTAAGGGACTAATTTGTAAGTAATTTAAAAGTTGAGGGACTAAGTTATAGGCGAGTTATAGTTGAGGGATTGAGTCATAGTGAGTTATATTTGAGGGACTGAGTTACAAGTAACTTAAAAGTTGGAGGACTAAAAGATTAATTTTTTCTAAATTTTTTTACATTTTTTATTTTAATAAATGTACTATTAAAAATTAATTTAAATGGATGGCAAAAATCATTTTAGGTTGAAATGGAGGGCCAGGATTTTTGACCCTAATAAGCATTTGATGCTCATCACAATGATGAGTGTCGAATGTAGATGCCTTTTTGGGTGGGTCTTCATAGAACAAGGGCATCTTCTTCATTTTTTTTGAAATTCACAACATCTCACTCTCTCTCTACATTTAGCACTCTCTCTCCTCCATATCTCTTCACCCAACCGTCCAAATCAAGATCCAACTTCACCATTGCATTCTTCTCTCTATTCTCACCAAAAGCTTAGGAATCTTGCTTTGGTTTGTTGAAGTTTTTGCTATTTGAAAATTCTCTCTGAAGTGCTGTAATGGCCATGCATCCATGGAGCTTTGATGAAGATTCAGTGATGCTCTCCATATGTGGTTGGGCATTCTTCTTCCCTTGGAGATGGACGTACCTATGAGCTCTATTACTGAGATTTCTTTTCTCCTTCACCTTATTAATCCATGAATTTGAACTGAATTTGTTGAGACATTGATGCCAGTCTTTGAATTTATGAATGTATGGCTAATGCTGACATAATTAAAGTGTTTGAGATTAATTTTGGATTAGTTTATTTGATGGATAGATTTAATTGATACATTCCTTTATTAAATTTAATTGCTATACACAATTGTGCTTGATATGTTTGTTGGTTACTACTCAAAATCTCAATTGAAGATATATTGTGTTATAGTTGAGGAAAAGGTTAGGAGCTATTCAAATTAACCAATCAAACAATTAAGTAATTTTCATAAAATTGGATTTTTTATTGTTGTTAATTGGCCATTAAGGATAATAAGTAACTTGGTACTCAACTTAGAGAATTCTAGGTCTTCTTAACCTAATTAATTGAAAAGAAATTAAAATCAAAATTAGGAGCAAGGATTAGGTAGCTAAGTCTTTACTCACACATTCATACACACTCATTTTACTCTATTCATTCCAATTTAATTCGTTAAATAAACAAAACAAGTAATAGCTTTTGTTAGTTTTTTAGATAGTTTGAACAACCCTTACCTTACTATTTTATTAGTGTTTTTAACTGTAAGAATTTTATAATATTAACTTCTTGAGAGATTCGATCTTAGTTGACCATAAACTACATTAAAGTTAACTTTGTTAATTTGTACTCACACGACTAAAGGTTATTAGTATCAGAGGTATGGTCTCGGTGGAAATATGTTGTTTGATCCTGATAAGCGCCAACGGTCTGGTCCTTATGAAAGTGAACCGTCTTGACCGTCAACTTTGACTAGGACCGAATTGCTAACGTTGTCTAAGTTGCTTTTAAATTTAAATATAAAATTTAAAATTAGAAATTTTATTTAAGATCTAAACAAAAGATTTTAACATTGTAATTTGAAATTTTTTATGTTATTCAAATAAAGGATTTAGAATATATAAATTTTAAATGTGAGATTTCAAATTCAAATTCACTTATCCAAGCACAAACTCATGGTTTATGGTGTTATTGGATCAAAAATTCAAGATAATTTGTTGATACACCTTGAAAATAAAAAAAGTCCTATCAAACTGGCTTATGATTCCAAATAATCAAGATTGCCAAAATGAAACAATAGGATTCTGTTAAAAAGTTTAAGAAAAGCCTAAACTGTCTAACATGCTTGAGATTTAACATAACTGAGATTGT